TGCTCCCCACTCTGTCTCTAGTGAATCCTCTCACTGCCCCTGCACCTCTGGCCTGTAGCCCAGTTTTGTATGCAGAAATAAATAAATCTTTAAAAAAAAATTGAGCAGGTAGGAAGATGGTTTTAGGAGCTACTGAAAAGCTGTAAGTTGGCCTAGTGTGAAAGAGAATTAATTCTACCTATATTTACTTAGCAGAAAGCATTGGGTTAACTGCTTTGTCTGCCCTAGCAATAAGGAGAACTCCCAGTCTCAATTTTATGAGAAGCTTTTGGATGACAATTGGTGCACCCTTTGCAGTCATGATTAGAGGTAGGATACTAATACTAAATTTCACAAGCCAAAGTTTTCTTCCTAGTTACTATATTGTGGTATAATGGGTGCAGTGTTGTCTCCTCTGATGATATTGGGGGACCCTCTTTTCACCAGAGTGTATAGTCTACAGTGAATATCATGGGAGGCTTCTCCATTGTGGTCATGTGTGTGCTTAATGAGAAGTTTCTGAGCACCAGCACCCCCCGGGATGTCGACCTGGGTTTTGTCTTTCTGTCCCCTAGAGTCTAAGTTTCTTCCATCTACTACTTGGCTGGTGCCACGTTATATTCAGTGGCAACTGATGATAGATTAGTTCTTTTCAGCATGCTCCTTCTGTATGATACTGAGAAAGTAATCAAGTGTGTAGAAGTATTACCAGTGTATGAGATTAAAAAATATGATCCCATCAATTTGAATGCTGGGTATCTACACCCATGCTTAAATATACTTATACAAGTAGCCATTATCCTAGCAACTAGAAGCAAAAGAAAGAAGTGACTTAGCTTCTGACTTGTTGAATACATCAGATATTTTGCTTGTTTAATAGGAGTAAATATTCATTAGATAGTTTGTACAAGAAGTTTTCATTGTAGTGGTAAGATGTGCCAATATGTTTCATATGGTCCTATAATGTGATGTGTTAAGTCCATTTTTTCCTTGTAAGATTAAATTCAGTAGTTTTCTTCCAAATAAACACACACATTCCAATTTTCATGTTTGATTAATTCTAAAATATTTTAATGAATATGGAAACTAACATTTGTATTATAAGAATTTAAGTGTTTCATCTAGTTTTAAATGTATTTGTTAAGTGAAACGAGTTTATCTGCATATTTTTTGACATGCAGAATATTAAACAAGGACCCAAGTGATATAGAAGTTTGGTAAAGCAGCCAGAGAGAAATGAAGGGTCACTTGCCATATTGATTTATGAATATATTTGGTTGTCAGAAGAGTCATGATGCATTTTTGCAATAAAACATAGAAGAAATATGTCATGACTTTTCTGACAACCAGTATTAGGCTTCCAAACTTCCTTTACAAGTTTGAGAACTCTAAACGCACATCGTGCTTAAGAGTAACTCAAGCAGCAGTTTGGTTTCTGGACCCATTACTAAGGTAAACTGCAATACTCAGCTCAAGATTATGTTAACCATCCATGATTAACAATGTTTATACTAAACAATTTAAGTTTCAACTTGAGACTTTGGAAAGTTTAAAAAGGTGAATTGGAGGGTAGTGTAAAGGGAAGATGGCTGGGAAAAATAAAAGGAAATAGAAGGAGCCTGGTAGTGGTAAGCAAAAGTTCAGGTTACTGAAGTGGGTGGTAATACAAACTTTCAAAGTTTCTTAAGATCTAAGTGTCTTCTGTAGGCACTAGAAGAGAAAGGAAAAGGACAAATCGCAACAGCAGCTTCAGATACAAGGAGCGGTACTTCTAAAAGGATTCTGTCACTTCCTCTTATAAATTACACATCATAAAATGGATGCTGGATAATTAGCCCAAACTAATACCATGAAGGCAAAATTAAATCTGCATTCCTACTAGAAAATTAAATTAAAAATTATTTTCTAAAAGTAGAATTTATTACTAAAGTAACAAAAAATTGTAACATAATTTCCTTATTGAAATTCATGATAAATGCTTTTAAGAACTCTAAATTTTCTACTTTTGAGTAAATATTCTACTTGGAGATTACCTGTAGTAAAGATTTAAACTAACCCCAGGAGATAATCACCATCTAGTACTTCTGGTTACTTTTGCTAATATTTAGTTAGTGGTTATCTAAAGAACTATAACTACTTTAAAATTATCCTAACAGTTGGAGGTTCCTCAAACTGCTAAACATGGAGCTTCCCTATGACCCAGCAATCCCACTCCTAGGTATCTACCCAAAAGACACAAAAACACTGATT